CATTTTGCCCCCCCCCCCCCAGGAAAAGTCCCTTTTCCCTAAAATCATAGAAACAAACCAGCAAAGATTAACAAATACATAAACGGAAAGTAAGTCAGTTTTAGGCTTTATCCTTTGTCCTTGTTTAACAAAATCGATTTAAATTGTTACTTTTTTCTACCACTAAGTAATGATAAATTATTGTTAATAATTTTTTTATTTCTTGGATGCTCAGAATGCAGGAAATAGCATTTCCGGGTTTCAAATTTCAAAACTTTTCTGGGGATTATCCCTCTAATAAGTAATGATAAATAATGGTTAATATTTTTTTACTTTTTGTGCGTTTTTTTCCTTTATTTATTTCAAATACAAGTATAGTTAGCATAAATTTTGGAGCAAATTTGGATGCTCAGAATGCAGGAAATGACATTTCCGGGTTTCAAATTTCAAAAATTTTCTGGGGATTATCCCTCTAATAAGTGATGATAAATGTGGTTAATTTTTTTTTACTTTTTGTGCGTTTTTCCCTTTATTTATTTCAAATCCAAGTATAGTTAGCATAAATTTTGGAGCAAATTTGGATGCTCAGAATGCAGGAAATGACATTTCCGGGATTCAAATTTCAAAATTTTCTTGGGGAGTACTCCCCCAGACCACCCCCCATTCATGCGTAGTATATTGATGACACACGTAGCCTTCAGCCATTGCTATCCCCCTCTAATATATTATATCACAAAAAAGTCCCTTTTCAAAAAATGCCCCCCCCCCCCACGGGAAAATCCTTAAAAAAGGCCCTGAATGGTTCATCCTAATTAGAATTCTCGATTATCTAATCCTAATTAGAATTCTAAATCGACATCCTAATTAGAATTCTAAATTAGAATTAGAATTAGAACACTCGTTGTCGTGTTTTATCAGATATAAAACGCTCGGCTGCGCCTCGCGTTTTATATCTGATAAAACACTCCTACTCGTGTTTTAAATAGTACATCCAGTGAAATAGTGGCCGCGGGCTACTTGATACGATATTACTAGAGAACGAGCATTCTGCAATATTTCCTTCTCTTCTCGAAGAACAATGTGGAGTGATGGATAATGGACTCCATGAGCTCATTTAGAATGGTTTATGCAACCTTTTCTGTGGCCTATGTTGTGTGTTGCTCGTCATTATAGTATATAGAAGGTAAAGGCTCATCAATAGTGGTCCGACTTCAAAGTCAAATACTTGTCTTACGGCGAAACAAATTCGATCAGATCTTTTCACAAAGGTTTCTCTTAAAGAATATGGTCTGATGATAGCTCGGGCAAATTTATCGACGAACGTGACGTAAAGAATACCTATTGACAATACGACAATACCGCCTTACGCGGTGGAACAGCATCAAAGTGACGAATTAGCGACGAATTTGATGCTGTCCCACCTATGAGCAGTTCACCGCTGGTGATTGTATTTCAAGAATGATATTTCATCAAAACTTTTTTCTT